ATATTCATAACCAACTCTTACGAATTTCAATATGTGAATCTAATGTAAAATAGTACTTTTAAAAAATGCATTGATATGACATTTAGAGAATGAACATAAGATCACTACCAGTTGAGCATACATAACTTACAAAATGCACTTTGATATGAAAATCAAAATCGTAAGGTTTTTTTAGTTGAACATTACGACATTTTCATTGAACATCAAACCTTCTCTATTGAGATCGATGGAAATCACGATTTCTGTTAAATGAACATTAATGAATTTATATTGAGCTTGGGACCTATACAAATGAGCAAGTGTAACTTACAAGATGAGCATTGATATGAAAATTGTAAGTTTTGTTCGTTGAGCATCAAGACATTTTCAGTGAACATCAACCCTTCGTTATTGAATATTAGAATCATGCGATTGAGTATCATAATTTGTCTTCTCGTGTCTATAATAAACTTCTATGTGAATCTAAAATGGACATTTAGTACTCATCATAAACACATTTATAAACACTATAGTCATTTCCAATACTCTGTATAACATAAAATTTATGTTAATACTTATCAAGCTGAAATTTTTTACCCAGAATAGTAAAATATAATATTAAAATACATGTTCAAGGTTCTCTTGGGATTTGAGAACTGAGGCCACAACATCATGCACGATTCTCCACCTATCAACTCCATCAAGCAGCAGACAAATCGACAACCCCTTCACCAACACCCAGGTCTCCACCAAACGAGCAACAACAATCGAACTGCACCTCCTCCGTCAATTCTCTTGACCGCAATAGTAAGCACAACAGCGAAGAACGAACTGCTTCTTTACCTGGAGTTGTAAACACATTAGGTTGAAAGGCTTAAAGTTGATTAATATTACATAAAGACCGGGTGTACATGTACACCCGGATGTATGATATAAATTGCGTTTGACCGATATAATGTAAATTAAGATATTGTTGTGGTAATTAAAATTACTATTATCATTACCGGAGTATAACAGAAAAACGTTTTGATCCATCACATTTATTTTAAACGTATATTTGCCATTATTTTATAGATTTCTCATGCGTAATAATTACAAAAATATGTGAAGTGGTGACAATTAAAATAGTGTATATATTTTGTTGAAGACTTCAAGTAATATAATACTCACTATTAATATGTTAATATGATCAATTAAAATTCATTGTGCATATTTTCCACCGCGTCCTATATTTTTACACTTATATTTTATGCTTGTATCCACTAATAATGTTTTCATTTGGACAGAATTTTCATTTTCAGATACATTCTTATGTGTTCAAGTTTCATTGCACTAATCTATTTTAGCATGATCTCATACGGTCAGGGACGGATCCAGGAATGAGGGGTGGGGTGGGCTAAGTAGTAAATATTTTCGTTATTGCATACAAAAGGTTTAGCTTAGGACTCATAGTTATTGAACTGAGTTTTTTTTCGAACTACTCGAGTTCGATCGTGATTTCGAATTTAATTTAATGACCAAAGCTTAATGAGCTTCAATCTCGAACACGGGCTAAATTTTAGTTTAAATAGTTTGTTTTACAAAAAAAAGCGGCCGTTATTTTTTTGAGTTTGAATAGTTATTCAAGCTGAATTCGAGCATAGTCATGTGCAGTTCGATGTGGACTCGAGCATATTCATAACTTACAAATTATAGAAATAAACTATATACTACCTCCGACCTTTATTAAGACTAATTTGACTTTTCAAGTCAAAGAAGTTAAACTCTGAATGACTATATATTTATACAATAAAATTGATAATATGAAAATGAAATGGAAATGTTCTTTGTTAAAAAGTTTATCATAAAAGTATAAATTTAGTAAGTTTCACATTAATACATGAGTTAAAATGATGGATCTAAGTTTACCATCTTTGAGTAAAGAGTCAAAGATGGCTAAATAAAATGAGATAGAGGTAGCATATCTAAAATTTAAACGTTTTAAATGTGATTTATAATTTTATTATTGATTATTAAAGATTTTAGTATTTATTGATATGAATTAAAATACTTCTATAAAAGTATAAAACTAATAAGTAAAAATAGTCGATTTACATAAACTAATAAGTATTCCCAATTTTAAAATTGAATTGAGATTTTGAATCCATTCTTACATGCCTAAACAGTAAATACATCGTTCTCTATTCTTTAATTGCATTATAAATAAATCATTTTTCTAATCTTTAATTCTATCTTTAATCATTATAAATTTATAATAATAAATAAAAACTATTTTACTATCTACTGCAAAAAATCAATTAATACTCAAATAGAATTACAAAGTTGGTAGGTTTGGGCTGGGCTAGACATTAGTTTTGAGGTGGGCTGGAAATTAAACATATACCTATAATAATAAAAATAAATTGGGTTGGGCTGGGCTGGAGCCCACCCCTGCCCCAACATAGATCCGTCCATGCATACGGTTATGTATGATGTGAGAGAAATAATATTAGGTCATACCAACGTTAGTTGTAGGCCACATATATGGCTAAATGCCATATGTGATAGTATATAATAACAGATTTCCTACTTACATAAGAATTGTGTACACCAAATAACTCTACATAGAAACCATGCGCAGATTCTCCCGCAGAAAATGAGATATTTGCAAGTTGAAGTTGAGTAGGAACCTAACGAACAATCAGATTTCTACGAGGCACCATTTTCTCATTCAAAATGATAGTCAATGTTAATATATTTAACGTGAGCATGTTGAATATGATTAGATGAGAGATAAAAGAGACGGAAACATCATATGAGCTGTAAAAAATATGTGAATATCAAGGTGGTGGCACAATATTCAGTTTCAGTAGAGGAGCAAATGGCATTAGGTTGCTTTTTAGAACGTAGAGACACCAAATTAGGAACAAGAAAAAACAACATATCCATAAATAGAACGACTATCAGAACAATCAGCCCAATCTGCATCCAAATAGGCAAGAATAATAGGATGTCCTCGAGCTTACTATAAGAATAAACCACGAGTAGAAGTGCCCTGCCAACACCTGAACTGCTGAACATATGCTTACTATATGTTATTGCGTTTCAAGCGTTTTATATATCATTGGAAAGGTCTTTCTGAGTTCTAAAACTTGTATTGAGACTTTACTTGCAATATATTAAAGAATAGGTACGTATTAATCTGAAATTCATAAACATTCTCGAGTTCACTCCAAATTCGTGTAGTATTTGATTAGTCATATCTTGTTGTATTTGATTATGTATTAAGCGTCTTATAACTCACAAGGAGGAGGTCACAAATTTGAATCATATCTCAGTTCAATAATGTTGGCCTTAACATAGAACAGATACTATAATAGGTTAGGAAAGTTTGTAAAAAAAAGTAGTGTTACAACACCACTTTGAAGACATTCAAGATATAAATAGAAAATAGCTACATTTTTTTTTTAATTTGGAATTGTATGTACTACTTTATTTGTCATATTTTTCTCTAGGTCAATGTTCTTTAAATCATTTTCATTTTTTGTTAAGAAACTAAGATAACTTTTTTTGACAAATAAAATAGGATAACTTTAATTAGTTGTTTATATTTTTCCACTGGCCTTAAGTTTCTAACAACCTATTATATATGCACCATAAAAAAACTAAGTATATGTGCTTTTAAAAAATCACACATGATGCAAAAAAACGGATATGACTGTTTCAAGTTCTTTGAAAATGCTCATTTTTATGGAAGAGAAAATGCTCATTTTTTGAACACAGAATTGATAAAAGAAAATAATCTACGTAGTAACACGAAATTATTTTGATACCTGATTTCTTTGATACTTTTTGTCTCTCATTAAAGCTGTGCTTTAAAAATTGGCAACTATTGGATTCACAACTTCAGATTTAAAATACATACTTCGTCAAATTTTGTATTTAATTAATTACTTGATCTTATACCTCCAAATTCCAATGATGTGGCCGGGTTAAGTTTTTTCATTTTGAATGTACTAGCTTTTCACCCGTGCTTCGCACGGGATGCAATTAGTAAGCAATAAATTATTTGGCAATATATAGAAATGATGTGATCAATATAGAGCAATGTATATAGTGGTGTTTTTAACAAAAGTAAATGAAGATAAAAAAATTTTACATATATTATTATACATTTCCTTGTATACAACAAACTTCAATCCAGATGGGGACGTTGCTCTTGAGATCGCGACGTAAAGTTGTCCATAGATAAAAACCGGACAACGTAAGAAAACATCAACCCTCTCCAAAAAAGAGAGTGTAAAGTGTATTTAGGGTCAAAAGAAGTACTCCGTAATAAATATAATTATTATTATGTTAAATTGGATTTTTTAGTGAAACACTTTATATTTTTTTCTCTGGCATATTCTAGTTTGTTTTACTGTGAATGGCAAATGTTTTAATTTGGTGCCTCAAATCCCTCAATTTGTTTTACCTGACACAATCCTTTAAATTGTAATCATTAGGGAAAATCACATAATGTTTTAATTTGGTGCCTCAATTTGTTTTATGTGACACAATCCTTTGAATTGTAATCATCAGGGAAAACCACGCATGATGCTAACCGCGACCCAGCTCCGTCTATAATCAAATTACCCACCATTTTATAAGTATTAATTCAATCAATTCAATCTTCACGGCAATCCAGAACCGTTAATATATCATCTAACAAAGTTTTTTAAAACTAAAACCTTACTTTTTATTATCATACATCGATACTTAAATTATTTTTTATAAATCATCATGATTTTAAAAGTCAAATATTTTGATGTAAAAATATATAAACTTGGAGTGTAATTTTTTGTTACGTTTGAAGTATTTTTTAAAATATATTTGAGCAATGAAAAAAGGAACATATTCATGAGATCTAAATTTTAACACTTCAATCTATTTAAGAAAAAAATGGATCTCAAAACCTCCATTAGTTAAAATTTCATATATTTTTATAAATTATATATATATATATATATATATATATATATATATATATATGCAATATTGATGTTTTATGAAAGATTATAAAATACAAGTATAGCAAGATAATATACAATGTTTTATATAAAAAAACCAGGTTTTCTTCCCCATACTTTCAAAGCAATATCTTATTAGCAATTATAGCAAGATAATGTTGAATTAATAATTGAATGAAGACGTCTGACTTGAAAAACAAAACAGTGAAAACGTACATAACAATTGAGAGCATTTGAATATTGAGAGCCCGTTTGGAGAACTCTGTTTTCGGCTTATCAGGCTTATCAGCCAGCTTTTTCACCAAACACGTAACTTTTACTTTCGCGCGCTGAATTGTGTAATAAGCCGAAAAAGTAAGGTTGGAGTTACTTTTCTGACTGTATTGGCTGAAGTTACTGTAGAGGACCATTTTAGCTATTTTTACATATAATTTTTTCTTTAATTTATTAATAAAATATATTTTTAAAATATTTTTTTCTTAAATCAGCAGAATCAGCCAAAACAGCCACTCCAGCCAGAATATCATAAATTTCAGCAGAATCAGCCAAAACAGCCGATTTTGGTGCTACCAAACGGGCTCTGAATGAAAAACCCAAAAGTGAAACAAAATTTTAAAAGTAAGATAATAATTTATGGCTTCTCTATCTTAGTACTTGAACCTCGAGCGGATGTACGAACTTCACTTTCACAATCAATCTCATATTCACAAAGTCGCTTAGATAATGATTGTGAAGTACTATCAACGTCTTTGGTGTCTTGGGAGATAGGTGTCTACATTAACATAAAAATAAAAAATATCATTCATATTTAAATACTTATGTGCAATTATTTAAATTATTTTAAAAATATCATTCGAGATAGTATTACCAAATTTGATTCAACAGGAGTTGGAGTCTCAATCAGCAAGTCCAAATCAAAATCTGAATTATATCCCCCTTCCTGCAAGGAATTGAATTCATGGTTAAAAGATTAAGAAATTCAGTCCAGTCCTTTAGCATCTATGACATAGCAATAAGATAAATAAATATATCGCTCAATGAGTTTGAAAGACGACTACCTCAGAATCTGTTGAATCATCAAAAGATGATTTTATCTAGTTGATTTTGAGCCCGTTTGGTAGCACTGTTTTTCGGTTTATCAGTCTTATTAAACTTTTTCACCAAACACGTAACTTTTGATTCCGCGTCTTGAAGCGTGTAATAATAAGAAAAGGTAAGGTTGAAGTTTCTTTTCTGGCTGTATCGGCTAAATTTATTGTAAAGGATCATTTTGGCTATTTTTATATATAACTTTTTATTTATTTTATTAATAAAATATATATTTTAAATTTATTTTTTTCATAAATAAATAGAATAAGCCAATACAGTCACTTAAGCCAAAACTTCATAAATTTCAGCAGAATCAACTGATTCAGCCGATTGAGTGTTACCAAACGGACTCTTTGTGTTTGTTGTTAGAAAAAGCTCCTACATAGTAGGGGATTCCCCATGTTTAGCCAGCAACGTGTTTAAAATGATTTAAGTGTGGATTTAATAGACAATAAACTAACCGCATCAAGATAGGAAGAAATTTGAACACATGTCATTATGAAACTAATAATAAACACATTAAAAAATAAGCAAGATAATACATGAAGAAATACTGCTAAAAAGTAATTGCTAATAATGACTGTGAATGTTTACTAAACAGTGAAAAGTGCAGTTTTTAGTATAACACATATTACAGTTTTTTAACTCTAAATATGCCTTGAGTTAATAAAACTCCATGCTAATAAATACTCCGTATGTTTTTTCTTTAGATGTGATTTCAAATTTTAAGATCAAGCAAAAAGATGAGAGTAAATTAAATGTTAAAGTTTGAAAACAACCTATCCAAAGCAAGGATTATATGTTAGATTGAAACCTGATATTATCATTCTAGAATTGAGCAAAATAATCTACAATAGATCTACATAGGCAGATGCACAACAATTTGTGGTGAGTCAGTTAGTAGTTTATTATCATTAGCTTAATGATACAAAAAATCTGTTGACTATTCTAGTACACAATAATTTTTATCATCTCAAACATTTTATAGTATTAGATGATAAAAAGAAAACCATAAACATATAATTCTTTCCACATGATAAGCTGAACTTTTGAAGCTAGAGCTAATGATAAGATAAACTTTCCAGCTTCCAAAAGTAAAACTTATAATTTCGTATTGCTTTTATGCATTAGAATACTTTATCATTAGTCCTTCTAAATCTATTTTCCAAAAGGTTTCTTTTATCATTCTAGAATTGAGCAAATACTCTACATCTACATAGCCAGATGCACGACAGTTTGTGGTGAATTAGTTAATTACTACTATATTCTGTAAAGTAAGACTTCTAGCCTTTTTGATCTTTTATTTCCAAAATACTCTTTTTTTTACTGATCAACTACTAATTGATATTCAAGAAGAAGCAAGCTAATGGCAGTTGGTCAGCTTTAGAACAATCAACTGGCAAACCTTCTTGGCCGTTGCAGTGTTGCTGTGAAATTGATGACAGGTTGTTAGTTGCAGTATCGGAATATGAGGAGTTTGGTGAATATGGCTATTTCGGGTGATGACAGGTTGTTAGTTGCAGTGTTAGAACAATGAGACACTTGGTGACCAACTATTTCACTGCAAGTCCTACTTGAATATGAACTTAGTTTAGTATCTGCTAACCAAATATTATTTTGAGTTCTCCAAACATCATTATATCATTGTCAGTATGGCATAGTAACTGGAATTAGTATTAGAGTTCTTGCTACTGACTACTCAGTCAGGCTTTAGAAATGGGAAAAGCTTAAGAAATGGGAAAAGTGAAACTCAAGAAAATTGCATAGATGAGGCCGGAGTGGACCATCCAAATATAAAGAGAAAAAATTCTTTTTCATTAAGTGATTAATTTTAACATAAGACATCAAACTGAATATCCTGGAAAAGTAAAGATTAATAAGAAAAACTAAGTGAAGTATACTACTCCACTATGGTGCTGGTGCAAACCACAATTTGAAAAATTGCATACAACTTGATATAAAATAAAAGAAAAATCCTATCAAATCACTATCAATCATCAATCATCATTTACCCCAGTGCCGCAAAGGCTCCCACCTACGGTGGGGTAAGGGGGGTCGTATGTATGCAATCTTACCCCTTTACTAAAGCGCAAAGAGACTGTTTCCGGATGACCCATAATGAAAATCGTCCAAAATTGCATGGAAAATCCTATCAAATCACTGAAGGAAAAAATCACATGCAAAAATACCTGGATTAAAATTACAACTCAAGAATCACCACTTTTACTATAGACCACACTTATGCACTATATCTGACCTCTTGAAAAGACTATCTTTGAATTGTGGTATGTTCAAGGTTGACTCGTATACTTAATTTTTAGAATCTATCGTCCCTAATACATCTTATTTTCAGAAAAAGATGTCATCATTCTCAACCTAATAAATGGAATTTTTATTTAACAAATATAGTGTCATGTCTTTCATAAAAGTAAAACGTGTGGGAAGAAGCATTTTTAGTAAACTTATTTTGATAGGACTATATAAAGCTAAACTTTGCACTCTTTAATCCCTCAAGCTAAAGTGTAAAAGACTTTTAGTAGTCAGAGAACACATGAGAGCTAAGGAATTGTTTGGTCATTTTAAACCTCTCATACCCCTTCGATTAGGCTATAAAACCACATCCAGACAGGTGGAGGATAATTTGAATAAACAAAATAAAGTGTTGTATGGCAAAAAAGATTTGAAAACAGAATAAGAGATGAATGAATCTCCAGATCTCCTTATCTTTCGTAAACATGAAATTTCAAGATATGAATATAGAGAGCAACTATTCCATATTCTAAGAAAAAATGAATCCTAGCAGAGTAAATGAGCATATTTTTGTTTATTAACACTACCAAAAAGCATTAATACTGTCCAAATTATATCACTATACGTCTACCACTTTAGTGAGTAGCTTCATCATCCAATTTCACAAACTTAAAAACAAAATCCTTAAAGTCCTATCCTCCGAAAAAATTGAAGAAGCAAGTTTGAAATGATAATGAGAGCCACACAAAGCCTGTTAGAGGTTATAAACATAAGTTCAAACTTCAAAGAACAAAGCATAGATATCCAAATAAGAATCAAGACAGCTCAAAGAGATCTGTTTTATAAAGCAAAAAGTAATTAAGAATGTTTTAATCAATTTCACTTCTCTATACATTTCCTGGTGGCAAGAAATCTGTTGTTTATATGCATTTTCCATTCCACTACAATTTTACACATATAACACATAGCATAAGATGCTCAGTTTGAAATAGTTAGTTGTCTAGAAAAATATGATAATGGAGTACTATTTTACCATGCAAAAATGTAAAGGAGGGCCTGTGACTGAGGCTTCAAAAATGTGTATTTCAAATCTAAACATATAGTTCACCACAACCAATATCATATAGTATATCATACTTTAAACACCAATTATTTTCATTCGAGTATAACACATCCACTTTGTAAATCAAAGATTCTGATATTAAATTAGAAGTTCTTGCAAAACTGAGATTATGACAAAATGATGGCCCAAAAGTTCCAATTACTACTACCGAACCAAAAATAATTTATGGATTGAAAGAAAAGTGGGATCTAAAAAGATCAATTTAAATTGAACTTTAACAAATGTAGTGATATGCAGACTCACAAAGAGACAATCAAACAAACTTAATGGTTTATATTTATAGTTCAAAGTACATATATAGGAAGAAAAGTTTCACTTTTTAAAAAATCTTTTACTTTTCAATTGGATATGTGTTCTTTCTAGCTTTCCCCTTCCACATCTTTCATGTGCATGTTTAAATACCTAACCAAATATAAAAGAGCTAATTGCAGGGTAAAAGAAGATTAATGAAAAACTATGATTAATAAAAACTGCACCAAACAACATTGAATAGTAAAAATATGTTAAAGTTTTGATCAAGAATAATGTTAAATCTCAATTGATATCTCCAGTGGCTTAATAAAAAATCAATCAATGCAGATTTAACCAATTCAAAAAAAATCTTATTTTTATGAAGCTTATTAACAACATTAATAGCAGATGATTGCCAAAAACTATGAACAGTACCTCATCAACCATGTGAAGGGGAGAGAGATGAGAAGTTGTATTAGCCCCGGTCTTCACCAATCCATTTTTTTCTGTGAGAAGTTGTATTGGTCCTCCTCTTCATCAGGTACACCTAATCAATGATATGTTATAGCAATGGCATACCTCAAGAGATGGTTTATATCTCATTAAATGAGTTGTAAAAAATGGATTAGTGCTCCTTCGAGGATGGATAGATTCTTCAAGAGGGCTTGGACTCTTGGAAAGTTTTTGGGTGCGGATTTAAGCCAGTTATGAGGTTAGCTTTCAGAATTTCAGGGGTTTTGAGTTGGGATTGGTGGTCAGTGATGTCTTGCTTTATTGGTGAGATCAGGAGCTCGCGTTTTGAGACCAGAGAGAAGCAGGGCTGAAGCGAAACTGGGGAAGGTCTGTCTCTTGGAATTGATCCGTCGTATGAAGATGATATCCACCATAAATTCATCTGTACTTCAATTCATCTCTCTATGAATGGAGGAGTTTTCGAGGAGCAAATTGTTTCCTAATCTCGGTGAAGAGCAAAGAGGATGAAGCAAAGTGAAAGCCGTAGATGTTTTTTTGGATCGTGCGGCTCTGATGCGTTCGCTCCTTGAGCGGGAAAATGATGTTGGCAAAGTATTGCAATTATATAGAGTGATTTCATTTTCTTTTCTTGTGTACTGTAACTCATTTGCATCGTTAATCTGAGCATTTGGTTATCAACTTTTTTGTCAAATCAAAATTTCCTAAGGCTTTCAAAACAATTTTATACAAAGATGTGAATTTAACTCACTCACACATATAACCTCACAAATCACAATAAAGTTGGAGTGTTAATGAAAATTACTTGAAATGTGTGTATTTCAAAAATACAATTACCTTTGCACAAAATCAAGAAAAAAGTATTTACAAATGAAATATGTAGATTTTGGTAACAGTTAAAACACAATTGATGATTTAAAAATGATGTAATTTAGGCATTTTAGGGGTGGCCATTAACCCCCTATATAAGCTGACCTCAAGCATTTGAGCCTTTGAGGGGGTCATATTCATTTTTGGGAGAACATCAACTAAAGAAATACGAACATCTTTCTCCTTTATTATGCACTTATATGTCCTTTCATTTTTTAATTAGAATTCACAAGATTTCTAAATTTTTGAAAACCTCTCTATGCATAATAACATTATGGTCTTGGTAGAACTCACCCTTCTCTAGATAAAAATACTACTCAGTTATAGGTTATGCCACTTATGCGATTATTATTGTTAGAATATTGGGCTCATCAAGCAATACGGTTGGCCCAATACCGCCTACGAGCTTATGAGCTCACCACTAGGAGAGCAAAGAGGATAACCCGAGGATCATGGAAGGAAGCCGAACGGCTCTAAGTACGAGCGACAAGGTAACCCCAGAAGGGGACGGGCCCCGAACCCCCCAGGGACCGTTCAGTAGTAGGGAAGAACGACCCATCATAGGGCGAGCGGCACAAACCACAGACTCAACCGGGTGGTAGGGCGCTAAATAGGAACGAGCGTCCTCTTGCCTCAGGCAAACATGGGGATATCTAATGGTTTATTCCAAGCGGTGGTGGGAACCCATGATTTTTGGGGAAGGGTATTTAATGCAAGACACATCGAATCCATGGCATTAAATGCGAGTGACGGGCCAACAAGTGGATGACGAGACATTCCTGCCTACCAAGAGGCAACACATCATCATTACCCATACCGACTAAGTATTATAAATATTCTCGTAGTTATTACGACACAGGGGTAGCTAAAATATCATCAACTAGCATTTAGTCTCTCCTATTGTTATCCAATATTGTACCGCTCAGTAGTATTGTAAAGTCTTGTAATAAAATAGACCAGATACATCTCAACATTGTGATTCACACACCTCTATTCTTCTATATCTGAATCAGCCACCCACCGGAGGTATCGTGTTGGACTTCCGGTTGTGGGATTAAACCTCAAAGTATATATGTTTATGGTTATGATAGTTGGATGGTAATTAATAATAAACTTGTCTTGTTAAAAAAGGTTTTTGATATAAATATTAGTGAAATAAAATTTATTTACAAAAATATGACTGAAAGTTACTACATTATAATGTCATGATCACTTAAATGTAAAAATTAAATATAAGTTACTCTGACTAAAGTTACTACTATAGTCAGTACATTTAAGAGGACATCTAAAATCTTATAATAGCCTATGAGGGTAAGGGTGTTTTGGGTATTAAAAATGTGTTGGTGTAATCTATTACGAAGTACAATATAAGGTTGTACATTTCATGGAAAACCTTGTACGACCCTATTTCTGATGCAGCCTCTCCATCTACCTTCCGTTAATTAAACTCCGTTTTCTAACACCATCTAATTTTACATCTAATCCTCTATCTCTTACGGCCTGACACTTATGAATTTGGTGTTTGTTCTTTCCGTCTAATCCTCCTAACAAAACATCCTTAGGAATATAAGTAATCAGGCATTTTTTTTTATTTTCATATAGGTAATCAGGCATTTTAATAATTTACAAGCATGTATATCAGTGTTTACAAAAATGTTTCCATCATTTGCAATGGAGTCAAAGATTCATTATTTTTTGGCTTGAGAATATGATGGAATAAAGCAAAATGGCACACTAAACTGTCTACGCTTCTTTGTTATGAAGCAGCAGTCAGTCTATGCAATTTTGGACGCGATTTTCACTACGGGTCATCCGGAAACAGTCTCTCTGTGCTTTAGTACAAGGGTACGACTGCGTACATCCGACCCCCCCCCCCTTACCCCACCGTAGGTCGGAGCCTTTGCGGCACTGGGGTAAATGAAAATGAAAATGACAAGCATGTATATCAGTATATGTGCGCCACACACATTTGTATATATGACAATGACACTTATATAATGTACTACCTTCGTCCCATTTTATGTGTCTTAGTTTGACTCAACACGATTATTAATGAAGTGGTTGAAAAAGTAAAAGTTGTGGTTGAGATTTGAGGGAGTAGCTTATTATGATCCTTTTGGTAAAAAAAAGTGATCCTTTTGGTGGGTACATTTTGGTTTCAATAATGTATCAAACTGGTATTTTGAGTTCAAGTGTCTCAATGTTAATTAAAATATAATGCGTATATATTATTAAGAAAATCCTCACTTGTTTAACAAGGGAGTTCTAGAGAAGTATCAATGTAACCCGTTATTATTATTATTATTATTATTATTATTATTATTATTATTATTATTATTGTTGTTGTTGTTGTTGTTGTTGTTGTTATCGTTATCGTTATCGTTATCGTTATCGTTATCGTTATCGTTATCGTTATCGTTATCATTATCATTATCATTACCATTACCATTATCATTATCATTATCATCATCATCATCATCATCATTATCATCATCATTATTATCATCATCATCATCATCATCATCATCATCATCATCATCATCATCATCATCATCATCATCATCATCATCATCATCATCATCATCATCATTATTATTATTATTATTATTATTATTATTATTATTATTATTATTATACGGAGTAATTATTTAGGAGGCCGTTTGACAACACTATTTTTCAGCTTATCAGTCAACTTTTCACCAAACACGTATTTTTTGCTTTCGCGCGCTGAATTGTGTAATAAGTAGAAAAAATAAGGTTGATCTTACTTTTCTGGCTGTATTGGCTGAAGTTACTGTAGATGACAATTACATCTATTTTACATATAAAATTTTCTTTAATTTATTAATAAAATATGTTTTTAAAATAATTTTTTCTTAAATTAGCAGAATCAGCCAATGCAGCCACTTCAGCCAAAACTTCATAAATATTAACAAACTCAGCCAAATTAGCTGATTCTACCAATCGGCTTCATATATGGTAACTAAGGTCATATATCTACAAAAATATTCTCTAAATACTACTCCATATAACTTACCCACACTCTTTTAGAGCAACTATTATATGACACCCTTAAGAAAAATCCAATAACACAGTCTAATATTATTCATTCTAGAAAATTATATTGGGCATTTATCTTTCGCGCATCGCGCGAAGTATAACTAGTACTTTTATAGGTGACAACTCCGGTACCCTTTTAAAAATTGGGGTACCGTACCTACCATGCATTTGATTGGTCCAAACCATTCTATTCCTTTTAATTTAGATTTAATTAATTCAACTGCATCATTCCTATTGGTCCATGTGGACGAAGTTATGGTATTTTAAGAGTACAATAGAATCTACCACTTTTATAAGCAATCTGTACTTTTGTCATAAATACATAATTATTTCAAAAAATAGCTTAGATTACCCGGTCTAAGGTCTCAAAGATTAATTATATACCTTGCATTTTCTAACGTTTTTTTACACAAATTATCAAACTAATGTGCAATTGTGCATTTCAATATCATATCATTATAAATAAATATGGATATCATTTGACAGTTTATTCAAATGAATCCAGCTTGTTATATTACTTGATACTCCGTAATATTTACATTATCAGTTAGATAGTCAGTCCTAGATAGTCAGTCCTAGATAGTCAGTCCATACATAGTATCCAAACATATAATATCCAAGTATTTACAAAGCATGTCTCTCACGTTGTTGGAATAATTGGACACCGTATGGGATAGGTGAGACAAGCTGGACTTGAGGCTCGTGACAAGATGCTCTACATTTCCTTCTTTATGCATAATAGCTCAAAATTATTGTAGCATGTGAGTACTAGTAGTTAATATAAGAAGCATATTCATTATTAGCCCTTTGCAGTTGCACTAATCCTAACATATCTTTGTGCTTTAAAAAGTTAGGTTTTCACATGAACACCTTGAAACTAGAGTAGCCATACCACTGCTGCACTACATTTCCACCCCAAATGACCGTATTAATGGGGCCTATATGTAACCCCAAATGCTCATCATCTATGTCTGATAGAGTTATGAACCATACCAATATTCTTGAGAGAAGCTAGAGCTATTGATGAAAGAGAGAGAACAGTAAGGATTTGCATTGCTTTGGAATGATAGTACGTATTCAAACACTTTAGATCAATCCCATTATAGGATATTTATAGCTATAATGATTAGACTATGATTAATAGGTGGTCTAAACATGGTTGTAGCCTGTTTGTAAGGGAAACACGTGCCCACTGATTGTGGCCTGTGGGCAATGCGTGTCCTTAAAGCCGAGGAGCGTGCACGATGAATCAGAAGACGGAGTGTGTCCTCACTCTGCGTAGTGTAGAAATGTGGTCACAATCGTCAAAAGCATGTGTCTAAAGCAGAGCCAGAGGCTCATCTTCCGCCTTCGGCAGCCAGGGCAGAGGATGTGAAATGTTTGTCCTGAGGCTGGGTTTTCTTCTGCTGGTTCATATCCTAAATGTCACATTACCACGGTTCTGTAGTACAAGGATGATTGCTACTACAAGTGTAGAACTATTAGTATTATGCTAAATATGATATATATGGCTGGCAATCAAATGGGACGTGCCATCATATGCAAATGAGACCTAATTTGGACCAAATCGTGCTCAATAGGG